TGGAAAGCAAATTGCCTTCAGCAAGAATTTAGTGTGCCGACAACTTGAAAGTCTATTTTTGCATATCTGGGATATATTCTTTCAAATGGGATAGTCAGGCATGGCAAAATATCCTGCTACTGAATTCTCTGAGCCTTTTTTCCTTCTGATTTAGTGGAGCATGACCCCAAACATGTCGTTTTTCATGGCAAACAGGGGTTGATGTGCAGCAGTGCCACGCTGTGCAGGAGGCTCCTTGTTATTGCTGTTGGTGTTCAGGGGGGAGTTGCTGTTTGTTTTGATGTGGAAAATTCTGGCAAATTGCTTGCAGCTCCAAGTGGGGGTGTTTTTTGAACTCAATCAAAAGGGAATCTTTGCCACATAGCACCTTTCAGCTGTGGAGCTGGATGTGAGATGAGAGTCGTTATTCCTAATTAATGTATTGAGAAACAACATGAAGTGGCTTGTCTGTGATTGTTCATTAAGTCACTGGCAAAAGCTCGGAATAAAATCAGGAGATATTGAATTTGCATCCATTGCCCTTCCAACAGTTTGTTCTTTTTTATTTGCTTCTTTGTTTTTAGAGGGGTCTTTTGAGCATCTCTGAAAATCAGTTCCCTTGGAGTTCAGTGGCACTGCCTTTTTGGCTGAACCTGAGATGATGCCCCTGTAAATAAATGTTCTCAGGCTTTAGGAGCTGAATCTGCACCAGTCACCAGTTCCCTGAGCAGAGTGTTGATGAGCTCTTCCCCTCATTCCAAAGGGTAGGAAATCAGGGTCTTGCACCACCTCAGCCCCAGGTCAGGGAAAGGCTTTTGTTGGAGCAGTGAACAAATGAGGAAATCTTTTGGCAGCTCACCCCTTCTCACGTGCCAGGAATGATTTCCCTGAAATATCCAGCTGTCCTTGTGATGTGCAGTGGGTTTATTTGGAGAAACAAGTGGAAGAGGATGATCTGGGTTAGAAAGAGTCTCCTTGGCTGTAAAAGTGCTGCAGTTGAGAGAACCATGAGATGTCTGTGGCAGTGAAGTGCTTCTGTAGAGCAGAAGAATTAAGAAGTGCCTTAATGAGTGAAGAATCACAGATTCCTTGGTATTTATATTGATTTTTACAGCTGCAAAGGTGGGACAGAGCCTGCATTTAAGTGGCTGCAGCATCTGCTGTCCCTCCTGAGGGACTGGAGCCTGGGTTTGTGTTCACTCCTCAATCCTGATCCTTCACACAAGGGAAGGTTTCCTGGGTTACATTTTCCCTCTTGTTTCCCCAGGTTCTGGCAGGGGCAGCAATGGAGAAGGAGCTGCTTGTTTAGAGAGTCCCTGGGATGTATCCCAAGGTTTAGAAAGTACTTTGAAACCTCGAGGTAACAGGAAACCCACAGTAATTGTTAATTAGGGGATATAAAGTTCCACACAGATTTTATTATATAGGAAGAAATTCTTGGGCACAGAGGTGGGGAGGCCCTGGCACAGGTTGCCCAGAGAAGCTGTGGCTGCCCCTGAATCCCTGGAAGTGTCCAAGGCCAGGTTGGAGCAACCTGGGCCTGTGGAAGGTGTCCCTGCCCATGGCAGGGGTGGCACTGGGTGGCACCCAAACCATTCCCTGATTCCATTGTTGCTCTGGGATCCAGAGGCAGCAGCACTCCTTCCTTTCCCAGTCAGTTTGAAAGCAGAAGCTGCACTGAAGTTTGACATTTGAGCAATAAAATCAGACCTTGTTGTTTCCCTGTGCAGGTGCTCTGGGCACTGATCCCAAGGGATTGGGCAGACATTCCATCCAGGACTGTGCCAGGCCTGGAAAGGTGTTGCATCTCCCCATTATTAGTATTATTGTCCTGTTTTGCTGGTTCACCTCTGGGTTGGGGCTCAGCAGCAGAACTTCCTCAGTTTTATTGAGTTATTATTGATGGTTGTGGAGCAATTCTTAGCAGTGGGGTTAGAAAAGGAGGCAGGAAGGAAGAGAGGGAAAGAGCAGGGGAAAAATAGAATAGAAATTTCCCTCTGTCCTTTTCCAGCTGACTGGGAACGGGCTGAAAAGTGGTCCCAAGGCATGGTAGAACATCCATTAATTCTGGGAGCACCACTGCACACATGGCTGATGATCCATGGCATGGATTCATTTCCTTTGGCTCCAACAGCTCCGTTCTCAGCACTGCAGTGATGGATTTGTCTTGATCCCAAGGTTTCTATTTGAAAGTCAAAACTCGTGGTGCAAGAATGTTTAACCCTGTAAGATTCCTGCCCCCACCCAGGCAGGTGAGGGGGCTCAGGAGGCAGCAAACCCATGGAAATCTTGACTTGGGAGCAAGTAGAAATGCTAAATTTTGTTTGGTGGGAGGCCCAGAAAGGTGAAAGATGAAGATGAGGAGGATTTAAGTGGGTTGTCTCAGTGCCTGTGTTCAAGTTTCCACTTGGCCTGTTCAGAACTGACAGGGAGAATTGGTTAATGGGGGAGTATTAAAGTAAAACTCATATTCTGTGGTATAAAATAACTTGGGTAATGCTTGTACAGCAGCCCAAGCTTTAAATGAGATACCACATTTAGCTGGTGCTGCTGGGGGAATGCCTGGTGTTCTCTTGGTTTGGAATAAATACTTTCAGGAGGTTGTTGTTTTTCCCTTCTCCTCTTGGCCCTGCAGTGCTGCCTGTGCTCAGAGCTGCCACTGGCAGTGCCCAAATAGGAAAGATTTGCTCCTTTTCCCCTCAAATTCTGGACTTTCACACTCTGCCCCCCACTTATTGAGTGTCCCAGAGCTGGGTTTCCTTATTGTTTTGTCTCTTGCTGTAGGGATCCCAAAAATTGGCATTAAAACCGTGTCACTCAAACCTGAAATCCATTTTTGTTTGTTTTGGTTTTGTTTGTTTGGTTTTTTTAAAATCAAGGCATGTAATTTGTTTTTTTCACCAACCAGAGGTAATTACTCAATGCTGGGAGCTGGACTTAATTTAACCTCAGTGGAACCAAGGGCTTTGAAATTCTCCTGTGAGTATTTTGATGTGACACGTGAGGCTCTCTCTCACAGCAGCTTCTTTTGATGCACAAAAAGAGGTTTAGGAGGAATATTTTGGACTATCTGAAGTGCTGAGTTTCAGTCTGGGTCACTCACTGTGTAAATATTTGCATGAAGGCTCTTTCTGAACGTTCCAGTTCCACAGAAATGCAGGGAAAATGTCCTGTGAATAAAAATTTTGGCAGGCTCCAAAAAAAAAAAAAAAAAAAAAGAAAAGGTGTGTAGATGGAAATAAAGGACATGAAATCCTTGGAGCATTAAAAAAAAATCATTGTTTTTCAAGGGAATGATTTTTTTTCTAAAATGGGAAAGCAAATCTAATGCCTAATTTCACTCTCCTCTTAGCTGTGCATCAACCCCCTTTGCAGCTGTTTATTTCTCCAGGATAAAAATGAATGATGGGTTTGAATCCCAGATGGGGACATAAAGCATACTATTAATTAGAAAAGTCCGTATTAATTGAATAATACAAATGATTAATAATTGTCCAGCTTGGAAAATTGCAATTCCTATTCCAGCTCATTGATTTTGTTTTGTGGTGGGTTGATGTTTTTTGGTTTTTTTTTTAAATACCCACCTCGAATCATTAAAATGAAAATTAACGTTGTCATTATTAACTCGGAGCCATTAGAGCTGCTGGTAATGCTTGGCTTTTATATTCCCTGAAAATACTTCAGGCACAGTTGCTGTCTAGACATGACCATTTCCTATTTAATCCCAAATTATTCCCAGTGGTTGGAACAACACAAGAAATACCATGGAATGAAACAGAAATGTATCCATAGGATCTTGTCAGAGAGTGGAAAACAAGGGGTGGGTTTGCCTCTATATTAAATTTTATGTCATCTTTGTGATCAGAGATGTCCAACATTGGATTCAGGGCTCTTTTTAGAGGGGAAAAGACCAAAAAATATATCTGGGCAACAATCAGTGTGCTGAGGGCTGACTGGGATTATTTCAGGTGGTTTTACAACCTCTCTGAGGTCTCTGGTTCTCGGGGACTCTTTCCTGATGGGATTGTTTGAGTTGGTTTCGTGTCCCCTCTGAGGTCTCTGGTTCTCTGGAACTCCTTCACTGCTGTGTCCAGGAAGCAGGTGAGCACCCAAAGTTCTTGGAGCTGTTCAGAAAGTTGGAAAACATCTCAGGAAGAACAATCCAAACAGCATTTTGAGCTGCCCAAAGATTTAGGAAGCAGGTTCTCCACGAAGGTTTAGGAAGCAGGTTCTCAGTGGAGCTGGATAGACCTTCATTCATCTGTTAAATCACAGTATTGATTTCCTAGAGATGAACATTCCCTTCACCTTTATGGGGGATAATTGGGGAGTTCTGTGGTTTTTAAATACTGTGTGTCCATCCCTGGAGGTGTTGGTGCTTTCCCTGGGATCGTGGAAGGGTTGGTGATCCCAGTTTATCCCATGGCCATGGAAGGTTTG